TAAACTACAATTTGATTGAGAGGATGATTAGAGAAAGATTAAAAAAGACTAAATAATAGAAATTCTTTGGACAAATGTAAATTTTAGTGAATAACCCTATGCAGTATATTTAAAACAGATTACTTAAGACAAATTTACACTTTTATCACATGAGACTGGGTCTAGAATTATGAATTAAGAAAGTATACTTATGCCTTTAAACATTCAGATTATTATGTTAACTAAGAAATGGTTGATAATACAAATAAGATTGAGATTTTAGAAAACGCACAAGATGTAGATAATAACGAACTGAAATATACATAAGTAATGCTTCGGTGCCCAGTCCTTACAAGAGAGGATCTAAATAAAGAATTCAAATAAATTAGTAGTGCTGGATCCAGAGACCAAATATTTATTGGAGTAATAAAAAGACGAAAGCTGAGAATACTACAATAAAAGAATAAAAGGAGGATGCAAGAAAGGAATTCGATCGATTTCTTTGTTGAATTATCTCATCCCTTAGAAAGATTGTGTAATTTGATAGCACTCTCATCTGAAGGAAACTATATCCTTTTTCAAAGATTACAGCGATCACAATTTAATTCTTCCTGAAATTGTAAAAAAAGAGTAGTTATTTCAAAGGTTTCAGAATCCAAATTTACAAAAGAAAAGGTAGCTCAATTGTTTGATAATAAATTGATTATATCAGCTGAAAATGAAATAAAGTAACATATGTTGGTTTGGTCATCTTATAGTCTAGAGATTTTACATTGAAAGCCTTAACAGATTATTTTTATCGACTCATCTTATGCGAAATTATTGAACTTCAATTCTTCAATGTCGAATTTTCTCACCAAAGTGATGGAGGAAAATTTTTCGAAAACCACCAAAATTAGATAATTCCTTCCTCTCTATAAATTACTATCAGAAAAGTATCTATTTTATAGCCTGAAGAAATTGAAAACAATCAAAAAGGATGAAATTATCTCCAATTGTTTCATTATTTTGATCTATTGACTAAGATTTAAGTACAAAGAATTGAAGCATCTAAAATGTTGAAATCTTAATAATGAAGGAAAAATTCTGAATATTCTAATTATATTTACTGCAGATTATATAATTAACTTTGATGAAGCTATTTTTTTCTCAAAACAGTTGGAATCTAGTATGCATTCATAAATATGTGAATTTATTTTGATACAACTTAGATGATTATTCTAAAACGAAACAAAAAAGAAGTGATTTTGAGACTAGCACTATTGTTATTACTAAAGAGTTATTTTAATAAGAGTTCCAATAACATTTTTCTTCAGATTTAAGATAAGTAAAAATAGAAATTACTTATAATTAATTTGTTAGGCTAATTAAAACAATATATCAAAGCTCCTAAAAATGGGGCCTCAAAATTTTGTGAAGAATTTTCTAAAGTTTGTTCTTTAAGTCTGTTTAATTTAACATATGAATTTAAAGATTAAAGTGAAAGATTGCATTATTTATTTAAATAATATTTGACATAAATCTAAATGAGGAACAATATTATCCTAATTCATCCAGCTTTTTATTGTATTAGGGAGATAAATATATATCAAATCTCAAACAACAAACAAACTCATAATGGGAATACAAGAGCATGAATTATAAAGGCATACAATAATCCAATTAATTAAGTGATGAGGTTTATTGAAAATGTGGAGTTATAATGTGACAGAAGTAGTGATTCTGTCCAAAATTCTTAATAAATGTTATTTTCAGTAAAGAGAAGAAAAAGACTTTGATCTATTCCTTAAGTGAAAAAAGAATAATTAGAAAGAACATATATCTAATTCCTTATAAAATTATGAAGGAAGTAAATTTAATATCTTTTTTTTACTGTATCTTAATATAAAGATAAAAATAAATAATTCATTTAAAATATAAATATTATAATTCATAATAAATTGAAGTTATTAGGAAACAAAATCTCATTCTTCTTAAATTTAGGATTAATGATGCATTGTAAGAATAATATTTAATGAACATGATTAATAAAAAGATCTATTTTTATTAATTTATATTTATTTTTATTATTCTCTCATTTGATTCATTCTTTTAAAGCTTCCTTTATTAGAGGAATTCAAAATCCTATTCATTCATTCCTGTGCACATCATAGATTCAAGCCTGTATCTGCTCTAAATCCATTCCTTTGCCTCTCTTACTACTTCTAAATCCATTCCTTTTACTTCTATTGACTCTTATACTACTTCTAAATTCTTTACATCTATTACTCATTTTGCCTTCCCTAATACTTCTAATTCCTTTTCTTCTATTACTCCTTTAACCTCTATTGAACAATAAATTGCTTAGGTTTCTCCTACTAAATCAGAGTTTATTGGATTTATTATAATTGTTAGTTAGTTTCACATATAAATATTAAAAAGTTTAAGATAAATTTTCAAGAGTGTTAAGTCAAAATTATTCTACTATAATTAAAATTCTTTTTATTTTTTCAGTCTTAAATCTCTGCATAATTTTCAACCTCAATAACTAAAATTTCAAATCTAAGAGCAAATGTTGGGAAAATCTTAGCCATTTCTGAGTTGATCCTATGAATAACGGAAATCTGATGATGATCGAGGTAAGACTCTAGGAAGTCTAGCCCATAGATGAAAAGCCAATTTGTGGTAACAAGCCATTCTTCCAAAATTAATTAAGGAGAAAAAGAAGAAAATCAATTTAATTTAATTCTTATAACTAAATATGTATTGTCTATTCATAAGTGATTTATTTTCAATCTACATATAAGTTTTGCACTCTTATTTAGGTTCTCTATTCATTAGATAACCTTTATATAGAAATAATTAATTAAANTTATAAAGGCATACAATTGATCCAATTAATTAAGTGATGAGGTTTATTGAAAATGTGAGTTTCACATATAAATATTAAATAAGTTTAAGATCAATTTTCAAGAGTGTTAAGTCAAAATTATTCTACTTCAGTCTTAAATCTCTGCATAATTTTAAACTCCAATAACTAAAATTTCAAAGCTAAGAGCAAATGTTGGGAAAATCTTAGCCATTTCTTGGCCAATCTGTCACTAAAAAAAATCATAATTATAAGTTTAATAAAAATGCTTTATTGTTTGAGATTAATTTCAATATTATGATATCTAAACTTTTTTTTAGAACTATTCAAATAATTATACTTAAGAAACTATACTCATAAAAAATTCTAAATAGGATTATTATTATAAGGATTAAGTCATTTTCTAATAAGTGTATTTTAAGAAATTGAGTTTGTTAAAAAGATAAATAATTGATATCAGATTTATTTTTTAATGTATAAGTTTAAGCATCCATTTAATATAATATAATATAATTAAAGAAAAACTATTAGATTTAATTCAATAGATTTTTCCAACATTAACCTTTTTTAGCAGTTATAAACTAAAGCTTACATTAATATATTTCATCACCAAAATTTCAGTAAAGAGCAGAATATGATCAAAATGTGCCATTATCAAAGTTACTTATCCTGTTAATAGAAGGTGCCTTAATAAGAATAGAAATTGGTATCTGCAATTAGTCTTCATAATGGTCTCAATTAATTATGAAAAGTACCTATGAGGAGTTGAACATTCCTCGATATATAAAATAAATTTACTTATAAATTATCATTTTATTTTCACTACATTATGCCTATTTCTGATATCTTAAATGATAATTTTGAAATATAATTAATTTAATGAATTAACAGATTTTGTTTAATTTTTAAGTAATTGCACATGAAGGAGAAGATATCGAAGTATTTTGTGTAAATATTGCTTCCAAGATTCCAGATCTCAATTATGTCTGTATTTTTGGAGTTGATCCTATGAAGAACGGAAATCTGATGATGATCGAGGTAAGACTCTAGGAAATCTAGCCCATAGATGAAAGCCAATTTGTGGTAACAAGCAATCCTTCCAAAAGTAATTAAGGAGAAAAAGAAGAAAATCAATTTAATTTAATTCTTATAACTAAATGTGTATTGTCTATTCGATTTATTTTCAATCTACATATAAGTTTTGCACTCTTATTTAGGTTCTCTATTCATTAGATAACCTTTATATAGAAATAATTAATTAAATTAATAATTTGATTGTTGAATTTCATTTTACTCTGATACTTTTTGAGGTAATTTCTAGTAGAAGGCTTTTGTAAAATATAGACCAATTTTTTAAAGATCAATTATTTAAATATACTTCTTGCGGTACTTGAGTAAATCTTAAAAATTCTAATAAAAAAATGAATTTCCATTTCTAAAATTATATACAGATATATAATTAAAAAAATCTTTAAGGGGTACCTACAGAATTAATATTTTAGAGACAAAGCTCAACATTAGATTGGGAGCTAAAATTAATGAAATCATAGAATGCCTTAGAATATTTTTCATCCTATTGAAAATTACACTACTCGGTATTAGGTATCAGAATAGATATTAAATTGGCCGAATTCAACTAAAATATTATATTAGTTCATGGAGAAATGTTTAATGAAGATAACAAGAAGCTATTTGCACTCAAATTTGGCTTCCCTCACTAAAGATTTCAGTTAGCCAATTTCTAATCTCTATAATTAATTATTGAGCTATTCCTTAAAATTACATTATGAGAGAAGATTCTCAAACATATATTACTTTAATATGAGGATCACCTATCTCAAGTCAAATCTTCTCCTGAATGATAAAATTGCTCAAAAATATTCTCCTTTTCATTATATTTCCCCTTACCATCAACTTTTGGATGAGTCACTTTTATAAGTACTCATTAATTATGCTTTGCTAAATATAGATGAATACGGTCACAGTGCTCAAAGCTATTCTTTAAGCTCAGATTTCTGCGTGAACGTCTCTCAAAACCTTGTAATATGAAGAACGGAAGTCACTAATTTTTAAACATTTAATCCCATATTTGACATAACAGGTCGGTTCTCATTTTAGCTGTTTTAGCATCTTCTGGGATTTTTATACTTTAATTTAGAATTTAAGCCAATTTATGTTTGATTTTTTTTTTGTACTTTTTAAGTATTTAGATAGAATAAATAGTATTCATAAATAAAGAACATAACAACTTAATCAAAGAAAGAATGGAGGTTTAAAATAATATCTTGATGAATAAATTTCTATTTAAAGTGAACATTAGTTTAATAATATCTCGACTCATTTCTATTTATAGTCAGCCTTTCAAACATCATAATCGGCACAATATCTTAGTAACATTATATCGTTTGTATGAAATGTTAGACAACTAAATAACTATACAAGTGTTGAATTAGCTTAATAAGAGGATTAAGTCAATGCTAATGAGAAGCTTAGATATTATACTAAAATTGTAGGCACAAAACACTGTGGTGAAATGGATATAAATGAAGATGGAAGTTTAAATATATTTTGTTTAAGCCAATTTACTCTAATATAATATAATTTGAATCTATCAAGTAGAAATACTACATTTCGATCTGAGTTTAATTTTCAGGATCAAATATAAAATAATTGCAAATTCAAATAATAGAGATGGAACAACAATAAATATATAATTGCATTTTATCAATGTCCTACATGGAAAGTATTAATTTTGAAAATTAATGAAATAAAAACCTTAGCAGATTCTTCTATGAAGGTTAGGATACTTAAAAATATGGGTTATCTTATATAGATGACATAACCTTTTGTGTAAAATCTTATTAAACATTTATTTTTATTTGATAGAAAATGACTCTTATCATTAAGTATATGTGACTAACGATGAAAGTAATATCAATTAAAAAGTTTTTCAAAAAGAATATCGAATACACAAAGTATTAATCTAGCCAAAATGCTAAATCATAATTGTGGTTAATTCATCAAATTATATAAATTCAAATTTAACTGATTCTAAAATGAATATAGAGATTGCTTTAAATTCACTATATTTAAATCATAATATCTACTTTTATTCTGATTTTCTATTCCTATAAAACTAAACTGAATTAATTGTTTTTTTGAGTGCTCATATTACTCAGAAATATCGAATAAGAAACACCCCATAGCATTTTTTTTAATCTGATACTTTATTTTGTTAATTTGATTAATCAAAAAATGCTCTATAATTTTACAGATACTAATAATTTAGTATTTTTATTAAATCATAAAAGAAGTATCTCTTTTTGATTTAGAAATAGTTGTTGTAAAATTATAATAGTGAGTCTAGGTGTTTTAAAAATTTTTGATAATAAAAATAAATAATAAGAAAAATCAAAAATTTGAAAATAAATTTTAGACCAACATTTAATCAACTATTTATAAATTAGAACCTTAGCTTTTAATTAAAAATAATTAATTCAAATTATCTAATAGTGATGGCAATATAAATGTAAGTATAAGAACTAATAACAAATTTGTGGACTTTTGCTTATTTGCACCTATTCTATTACATATTAAAGGAAAGATTGAAATGAGATCAATAAGACTTCCTCATTATATAAGTTTTCAAAATGAAACTTAGTTTTATATTTATGCTTGCAATTAGAAAAAAATATTAATTTCAATTAACAGAGTTGAATTTGATGTACTTGAATCTGATTCTGACTATTATATAGTATAGAAAACCAATAAGAATAACAATTTCTTAAAAGTAACTTCTTTAATAGATATTCACATTTATTATGTGTAATCTCATTTGATGAAGCTATTATCAGAGCTGAGCAAATTGCTGAAAGAGTATTTGTCTACTTGAACAATTCAAATTTGCTTCCACTGATATATTACAATTCTGAATTAATTTACAAAAAGAAAATATCTTGAAAAGAGTCATTTTTCCTAAGAACCTATTCTGTATTATTAGGAATTCTATAAATACAAGGTTATTTAATACCCCAATATTTTAGTTATTGAAGATGAAGGAAATATAAATTGTTATAAATTTCAAGCTGGATAAATAATTTCAATACAATTCTAATTAACCCAAATAAAGGCTAATTAATATTAGCAATACAAAACATCACAAGATTACTTACCCTTAGTTATATTGTTGGCTATGATATACATTAGATTACAAATTATACTTTTGCTGATTATTAATTTTCGTATCCATTAAAGTATAGACTTTTAAATAATAAAGTACTTTTTAAAAATCTTTAACATCATTTAGCTGTTTGAATGAAGCATAATTAGTAGCTATATAGCCATTTTTGAATTTAATACTTTCTTTTAAAATTATAAGAAATTATAGTTAATTTAAATATTATAATCATTTAGCAACTGATTAGCCTTTTGTTACATTTTATTTAGAGAGTCTATTGTATTTTAAAAATAAGGAGTGGAGATCTCTGCTTATGAATGAATTTATAGTTCAAGCAAAGTCGAACACAAAATTTTAGAATAGATTATTATCGCTCTATTAAACAGACCTATAACCAATTCTATAAGAATAGAACAGTATACAATTAAATATTTTGATTTACAACTATTGTTTTAAGCTACATCCTCTTAAGAATTTGTTTAGATTAGAAATTCGATAGAATGAAATTATAAAATTAAATATTTCTGATATTTTTCATGGCCCAATCAATAGTTTGGTCCTTAGAAGCAATTCATTGATAGTTCTAAATGGATCCTTTTTAATTAGAAGTAAATTATTTTCTTGCGGTTTAAATACTTCTAGCTTTTGTATTAAAAAATATCATATTCTAATTTAAGTAGAAGTTCAAATATTTTAAGCTATTATTATGGAAAATTAAGTTTATGAAATTATTAACAAAGATTCAAACAACTAAATTAATTATATCACCCTTATAAAATAGTCATATTATCTTTGGTTTTTATAGTTAGATAAAAATCTTTGGATTCGATTAATTTAATGTTCTGGATTAATTGATGAATATTGCCACGTTTTATCTGATCTTAATTAAAAGTTAAATATACAATTAATTGATGTGGTGAATGTGATGAGAACAGGAAATATAATAATGATAACAACTCTAATTGATCAGATATTTATTCATTTTGAAGATATAGATTTTATTATAGTATTAATACCTGGCATCATATTGGATGTTATGTATATTGAAGGATAAACGGATGAATATTTAATTTTACAATAGAAGGGTGAGAATTTAAAAGAGGTAGAATTATTTATTTACTAAATAAATTTTAATTATTAAACCATATTGTATTCCTTATCAATTTCTGAAGAATTGTAAATAGAATTGACAAAGATCGGAGAAATGGAGACGAAATAATTAAAATTAGTATCATGCACTTGGGTTGGAGGTTTTACTAAAATTAATTTTTTCATGATAAATCTTGACTTTACTTATTTGTTTTTATTAACATTAGATAAATAAGATAATTAAATTAAATTCGAATTATAAAAATCTATTAGAAATTGGAGTTCTTTAGATCACTAATTTAATATATTCACAATAGAATATTTTGACCAGAAGATATTGATTTTAAGAGGTATTTTTATTCATTAATGGTTTTTCTATGATCTTAGTGAAGAGAAGAACTTTTATGATTATTTTTATGAATCAGCCTTTCCGATAATGATAAAACGAATAAATATATACTTGATGTTATTAAATGAATTGATTTATAGAAAATGCATAATAAATGAATATATTCATCCCATTTACTACACATTTCATTTTTTTTTTGATAATTCTTCTGTCAATATAGGAACAATTGGATTTGAAGTGGAATACTAAAATAGTTCAGAAAGTAATAAGATTTTTGAACTGCATGCAAATAACCATTTATAAACAAAAAAAAATATTTCTCTCTATCAGATGAATAGGCTTCTTTTTAGATACAGANTATAAGCTATTTCCTCTTTAGAATTTGTTCAAATTAGAAATTCAAAAGAATCAAATTATAAAATTAAATATTTATGATATTTTCAATGGTCCAATCGATAGTTTGATACTTGTAAGCAATCCATAGATAGGTTTGAATGGACCCTTTTAAATTAGAAGTAGCTTATAATTTTGCGGTCTAAACACTTCCAATTTTTGCATTAAATAATACAATATTGTAAGTTAAGATGAAATTCAAATGTTTAAAGCTATTATAATGGAAAATTAAGTTTATGAAATTATTAACAGAGGTCCAAATGTCTTGATTAATTATGTAACAATCGTAAAATAGACACATTATCTTTGGTTTATACAGTTAGAAACGAACCTTTAGATTCAATTAATTTAATGTTCTGGATTGATTGATGAATATTGTACTGTGATATCTAATCTTAATTAAAATTTAAATATAAAATCAATTAATGCAGTGAATGTGATGAGAACAGGAAATTTAATAATGGTATAAACTTCAACTGATCATATATTCATTTATTTTGAAGATTTAGATTTCATTATAGTATTAATACCTGGCATCATCTTGGATTTCAAGTATATTGAAGGATTAAAAGATAAATATTTGATTTTAAAATAGAAGAGTGTTAATTCAATTGAGGTAGAATTAATTATTTACTAAATTAACTTATCTTATTAAACCATATTGTATTCCTTATCAATTTCTGAAGAATTGTAAATAGAATTGACAAAGATCGGAGAAATGGAGACGAAATAATTAAAATTAGTATCATGCACTTGGGTTGGAGGTTTTACTAAAATTAATTTTTTCATGATAAATCTTGACTTTACTTATTTGTTTTTATTAACATTAGATAAATAAGATAATTAAATTAAATTCGAATTATAAAAATCTATTAGAAATTGGAGTTCTTTAGATCACTAATTTAATATATTCACAATAGAATATTTTGACCAGAAGATATTGATTTTAAGAGGTATTTTTATTCATTAATGGTTTTTCTATGATCTTAGTGAAGAGAAGAACTTTTATGATTATTTTTATGAATCAGCCTTTCCGATAATGATAAAACGAATAAATATATACTTGATGTTATTAAATGAATTGATTTATAGAAAATGCATAATAAATGAATATATTCATCCCATTTACTACACATTTCATTTTTTTTTTGATAATTCTTCTGTCAATATAGGAACAATTGGATTTGAAGTGGAATACTAAAATAGTTCAGAAAGTAATAAGATTTTTGAACTGCATGCAAATAACCATTTATCAGATGAATAGGCTTCTTTTTAGATACTTGTAATAACCGAAAAGAATTAGTTTACAACTTTATTAATTTTATTTTGCTTAATTTTCATAATTATTTATTTAAGAAAAATGAAAAAAACTAATCAAAGATAAAACAAAAGTAGTTCAAAATTTTAAGTTACATAAATAAGGAATTTATGATCTACTTATAAAATATGTTTAATTCTGAAATAAAATTCAATATTTTCATTAAATTTTGCTTAAAATAATATAGTATAATCAGTTATATTTACAATTTTTTAATATTATTCTTGATTTGCTTATTATTAAGATTAAGTTTTAAGAAGAAGAAATAATTATTTTTTGAAAACCTCAAAATGGCAGAAATTTTGAATTAATTAAAATTAAGATACTAATTTAGAATATTATTAAGTAAATTCAAGATGGATATAGTATATATAGAGTTATCTAAGGGTTAGATGGTGTATTATTGCTGGTTCAATCTGATATATTACGATTCAATTCTAAATCTTTACTAATAATCTCTAAATTATGTTCTAAATATATCTGATCTGAAATCTACAGACCATTAATCCATAAGAATTAAAAATTAATTATAAAAGGAACCTTTGATTAATAAGTTTAGGAACAACTAATAAATTAAAATTTTAAAATATAATTACCCTGTGATATTTTCTGGCAAACTAAAATTATTTATAAGAATAAATAGTAAACTTCGAAATTTTAGATCACTAAATTATTTTAAGTGTATTAATACAATCATATTTCATACAATATGATTCATAAGCAATTTAAAAGATATTATGTTTCTAATATGTTGAGACTACCTTTTATGCTATGGACATAATTTTATATAATAAACATATTTATTAGAAAATTTGTATAATTAGAAATCAAATTCCTAAAGCCTACCATAATTGCTTAGGTAATAGAGAAAGAAATAAAATTATTGAATTTTAAGCTTAAAAAACTATAGTAATTTTAAACGGGTGGGCTTTCTAATTCAGTTTAATCCTAATTCATTACATCAGATGTTTCTAATTAGCATCTGGTTCAAATACTGATATCGTTAGATAGGATTTGATCAAACTAAAGAAAATGATACCCTATCGAAAGGCAAAAGGCTTCCAGCTAGGTTTTGCTTTTCACCAAGCTATCAATATTTTGCTGCTCAAAATAATTATCAGGGAATCCATATTTGAAAGTTAAATTCAAAACACATCATCTAGAAACTATCTTTAAAATTGATTAGACTTAGATTATAGGTTAGTAAAATTATTCAAGAATATTGATTATAAATTTAGAGTAGATTTTTAAATAGAAAAAAATATTATAATACTACTTAAACTTTAATTCAAGATCTTTTATACTTTCAAAAAATTTACTAATGCAATTGTACATTTGTAAGAGAACATATAAAGTTTGATCAATCTCCAATAATTCTGAAATTAATATTTAACAGTGAATTATTCTTAGAATAAGTAGAAACCTCAAAATTATATTTTTTATTTAATAAATTATCAGATAATAAAAACTAATTCAGTTTAATTTCCTTCATCCAATCTAGTTTGATTTAATGTTCTTTGTTTTAAAACACAATTTCACTATACCCTTTCCTTGTTAATTTACAAG